TAGAATATTAGCCTCTGATTATATTTGGGTGAAAAGGATCTCACTCTTCTTAATAAATCTCAAAAAATTTATTATTCAATAAAATAAAAGTCAATCATCAGTTACATCTAAGACTTTGTTATCACAATCACCAGAAAGTTGTGCCTCAGGGACTGACACAATTACATGCAAGCTGGTACACTTGATTATTTTTTTGCTCTATTTATTCACCTGTGGGAGTCACAATATTATTACTTTTCTTTGGAAGCGGTTAAAGGTTGTAAGTGTTATGAGCTTAGGCTGTCTGTTCTTTTTTCTAAAACTACTGTTGTGCCAAATTTGCACATGCTCATGTTTGACTCATTCCAGAATTATTACTACAGAGAGCAGTAAAACCTTGCTGATGCTACAGGAAACTTCATTATTCTGGAGATACATATATGTATATTTTATACTAGCGTAGGTTTTACAGCGTTTGTGGTTGGCAGAGCAGTAGCACTGGACTAGGGTCCAACAGGGAACAAATTGCACTGTCAGCTGTTGGTTTGATTTGCATTTCACATTTCTCGCTTAGTTCTTGGGTTCATCACTATTCTCAGTGCTTTGTCGGAAGCCTGTTAAAGCCAAGGTAGAAGTATTTAGAGTACGCAATTCATAAAACATGTTTGAAAATAATCCACTGGAGTTGCTAGATTACAATGGTAGCTGCCAGTGCTTTGGAAGACAAAATGTTTTGAAATGATTGGTATATACACATCCACGCACACGCGCCTATACTGTCTGAGCAATCAAAACTCCTGGCATTTCAGAGCATATTAGGAACGTAGGATTGGAGCTAAACATGCTCATGCTTTTATCCAACTGCTTTGAAGCCATTAACATATTTATCCTTACCCTGTGAGCTTGGACTCCTGCAAGTGGCTGGACAGCAGAGGTTAAACCGTAGGCAAAGCCTACGTTAGGTATGCATTGCAGTAATGTGTAGAGGGACAACCAAATGTGCTTATCTGCCTGCGTGCTACTGTGGAGAGAAAGTCACCCTGGCCTCAGAAACAGGAAAACTACATGGCCAAAGCACCTCCAAACAAAAAGTTTAGCTTTTCTGAAGAGCTGCTGGTTGGAGCTTAGGGTGTCGGGCAGCTTGTCTGTAGGTGAATTGGAGGTCCCTGCACTGCTTTGTCCCAGGAAGCGGTGGTGGTGATGGAATGGTTGTAGCACTATTCATAGCCCCTTCTGACTTCAAGTTCAAAATAATTTCTAGAGACAGAGAAAAATGTTTATGCTACTTGTTGAAATGCTTCACTCTTCTCCTGAAGGTGCGTCCTCTCTTTTGGCCTCACTTGGAAATAATATTGGAGACTCTCCCGTCTCCTATGTGTCTCCCTCTGTTATTGTGGCCTTCCCAGTTCAGATTAGATAAAGGCACATTAGGAAAAGGAATTTCATTGCTATGTTCTCTCACAACTGGGTGAGATTGAGAAAAATACACCGGCTAAGAACTGTAAACAGCCTGGTGGGCTTCTGCAGGCCCTCTGTACAGAACTGATTTGTACCAGAGGAGCTCTGAAATTATCATCTTTGCTAGTGGGCAGACATAACCTCCTAGAAATATGAGCCTGAAATGCTGTGCTATTTCAGGTCACTGGCAAGGATAACATCAGACAACAGTAATGTTGACTTATTGCAGTACTCAGTAATGCACAGACATATGTATAGTGCCCATCATAAGGGTGCTTAAGAGGGAACCTCTGATTCAGTGTTTGTCTGAGGCCATTTCTGATAGGAGGAATAACTTTAAGATTATTATGAATGAATCTTAGGAATATAAGAAAAGAAAACTTCTGCTGCACTGCAACTGAGGCTGGCAAAGTGGAAATAGTAACGTAGTATGCTTCAGTTTTATCAGTCTCTTCCCTTTCTGCACTACCACGTTGCTCCAAAAAGAAGGAAAAATAAAAAGCAGTTCTTTCTAAAGAGCTACAGACTCATTATATTAAGCATCACAGGGCTGATATCAGGTTATCTCAACAGGTTACTGTATATCACTATACTGTATGTGCACATGGCCTTAACCAATGACAAATGAAAAATAATGTGACTTACGTTATCTTGCAGTGAAGGAGGAGTACAGTGAGTCAAACTTCTGCATGATTATGTAAGGGCTTAAAACCCCCACTATCTACATACAGAGGTGCTTATTGCAAGTCAGCTGATGCATGGTGACTTACTGCTTTGGGGTAGTGTCATCGCCTGTCTGGGCCCACGTGCTGTCAGGTCTTTGCACTGTATTTTATTTTGTGGTTCTAAAGCGCTGTGCACGATGGGGTTGTGGTCCATATCGTGTGTAGCATGATATTCAGAAGTTAAACTTAAATATGGGTATAATAATAAGGAAGATTTAAACTTGAAACCCAGATTTGCTTCTTTGTTTTATGGGAGGTTACATACATGCCCACAGGTGCTGAAGAAATGTGAAAAAATGAAACATGTCCTTTAAATATGGAGTTTTTCATGTCCTCAGCTGCACAAATATATTAGAGACAAAAAAATCACTATAGTATGTTATCTACTATCAGAGTGATATTCTGTGCCATTGCAACTGCATGCTTGGTGCCTGTACACAGTACTTCTGTACAAATGTAAGGAAGTCAGGGAAACTTGCTTTTTTCACTAAAAAGTATGCGTATATCATGTAAGGCTGAAGGTCTGTAAAGCACTCATTTTATCTGCCAATACCTGGCCATTTACAAATGGTAACTTGGTAGCCATTGCAGCACCACATTCTCTTATTTTGGAAAAGCTGCTGCTATGTTTGCCTTTTACATCACTTCATTTTGCCTGCACCTGTCCTATTGACTCAAAGGCGTTTTTATTTTTTCTTGTCATTTCTTAATCTAAAATAATATATGTATATACATATATATGTGGGAAACAAGAAAGCAGGTATGTAAAGTGTAGGTTATGAATAGTATAATTATGAATAACTGTAAAATTAGTCAGCTTTTTTTAATCCTGAAAGCCTTTGATTTCTTGAAAGTACTGTGAAAAGGTCCTCATGCCATTATCATTACGTGCTGGTTTTCTGTATTTCATAAATTAGTAAAAGAAGAGATTGCTTTAGAGCTAGGACAATGTTATATTTCTTTGTATACATTTCTGTATAGAGAGAGTAAGCATATGAATGAAACAGGTGAAGCAAATAAGCTACTGCATCCATGGGAGAAAATGGGTGAAATCTAATCCGAGTTGTAGCTGAGCCAGCTGAAATGAAATAGAGCTACAGTTACTCTCCCCAGATAACTGGGAGAGGTTCTGCCACTCACACAAGAGGCAAAAGAAGGTGAGCGTGTGCGGGGTGAGGTGGATCCCTTGTTGATGCCCTACAGGCATGGAAAAGTAGGACCAGTCAGTACAGAAACATTAAAACAATCCACAAGGAAAAAAGAGGAATATTTAGAACACGATGTAAGAAACTAGGCAAATTTTTTTAAAAAGCGCTTTTCAGAGTCATTCTGCAAATCTCAGCAGGGAATGATGCTTCTATTGCTTTAAAAAAGATCATAGCTGAAGAGGTGACAGCGTAGTGCCAAAGCGTTGAGGTACTTTCTCCAGTGGTGTTCACCAGCTGCTCATCTGTGTAACTGGAATATGCAAGCACTATTGGAAAATGAAGTCAGGTATTTAAAACGAGAATAAAATAAAGTGGAAGAACTCCTGAGTTCTTTGCTTGGGAGACTTCAGAGACGAGGAGCTTCAGGATACGCTTACTACTGGGAGAGGTGCCAGAGTAGTAAGCGAAAGAGGGAACAGGCACAAAAGTTAGGCGGGAGAGGTGAAGCTGGTTCTGGAAAGATGGGCATTGATGACCAAGAGGCGCAAAGTAAAATGTTTCATTGTGTTTCATCTGGTAGTGTAAAAATTTAAAGAGGTTTTTTAACTCTTAAGAAGGATGTACCACTTTCAATGACAGGAAATTTCACATAGAATTGCCACTTATTATGCACAAGGCCCTAATCTTATACTGTACAGCGCTTTTCTTTTTTTCCTCTTAATTTAATAATTGTCCTTATTCAGGAATAGGATTTATTTTATAGGAGAAAAAAAAATCACAAAGCCCTTAAGTTAAACTTTTAGCAGACATTAAAAGACTTTGTTAAAATGTAAATGTCCCATTTGAGTGAACATATTAATAAAGTAAAAGACAATAAAAATGAAAAAGTGCTAATATCACCATCATCTGGAAAAATCTACGGCCTTGGTCCTGAGTATGAATGTGTGTGCAAAGTCCCCTTCGGCCTAGGTACACTCAGGCACAAGAGCTTGAAGGCAAATCCCAGCAAAAAACATCAGTCTCAGTACGTAGTGGGAACAAGATGCTGTCCCTGTGTCACAGATGCCTTTCACCCCTCTCTGGCTCTGATCAGGAAAGTCCTCGTTAGTCAATTGGTCTGTGGTTGTCTTAATGATTTGGAGTTACTACAGTGTGATGCAAAAAATGTCTCGATTAGGAAAAAAAAAAGTTGTCTCCTTTATTATCATTTGTGAAGACTCTGAGTATGAATGAGGTTTGGAGAAAGGAGATGCAGGGCTGGGCCTTGGCTTTTATAGCCAGAAAATCCTCATGCCTCTTCCAAGTGACACCGCGAGGCTTTCCGTTTTGAAAGCCTAGAAGGAAAAATGGTGTTTAATCCTCATGGAGGTGAGGGAGGGGACAAAGAAAGAAATCCTGAGCTTTCTTCCTCCTCATCTTCATCTGAATCCCTCAGAAAAGGAGAGCACTCGGTTTGGTAAAATAACTCATTTGGAATATCAAATATCCATGAAAGAGACGTCCCAGACTTAGTGAGCTGTCAGGAGGCTTGTCACTGCCACATGCAAGCCCTCAGAAGTTACATCTGAGGAGGGAAGATGTTAGAAATCTTTCCCTGTATGACATACTGTCTCTATTTCTTGCTAAAACAACTCTTAATTAGTTGTTCTTTTTCTTCTTTTTTTTTTTTTTTTTTTTTTTAAATATGCAGCACCAGGGAAAAATTGGAGTTAAATTTAATGTTGGAACTGATGACATCTCTATTGAAGAGATCAACGCAATCATTAATGACGGAAAATACCATGTAGTACGTTTCACAAGAAGTGGTGGCAATGCCACGTTACAGGTGGACAACTGGCCAGTTATCGAACGTTACCCAGCAGGTAAGGGCTTACACAAACGCTTGTGAGTAAAAGGGTGGGGGATGTGTGGAGTTTGGCTCGTTTTGCGTCTTTTCTAATATAACATCAGCTCCTGCGCAGTGTTTTGGTAGCTAATTAAGTAGTTAAAGAGTCCTGAGCAATGTGCGGTTTATGATTATGGCATTTCTTAAGTGAGTTAAAAGCACAAATCCAAGTTATTACTGGAAGTGGAAAAATACAGTTATAAAGGCATGAAAGGTTTTGTTTCTTGTTTTCATTTGTTTTTATTGGATTATTGTTTTAGGGGGAAAAAAAGGCTTTGACAAAAGCTACACAGTAAAATGACTTCCAAATCGATCTCCAAGTGATGGGGTAAAACATTTACTGAGTAAAAGGTTGTCTGTGTTCTTTTAATTACAAGTTGTTATTAAAGCAATCTGAAGCTTATGAATTTAGCAGAAGTGGTCCAATAGGCATAAATCAAACGGTGTATCAGTTATTCATTGTACAACCAACCAACCAAATTAAGATGCCTTAACTTAAATTGCAAACTACAGGATATTACTTATGCAAGTGATGCTGGTTACTTGAACAGGACCGCTCATGAGAATATAGAGTTGCCTTGATCGGGCCCATATTTAATTATATGCAAATGCCACGCACTGAAGATTACTGTGTTACTAATTTTATTCGTTTTTGAAGGCACCAGGTTTTTCAGATACGCAATCCCTTTCTTATTGAATAGGACTGCTGAGCCATTAATGGTAACTTACAAATCTGCATGTTATCTGTTAACAGTCGGCATGTGTGTTCATATTATTAAACAAAAGGCAGCAAATCCAGAGGTGTAAGTGAAAGGTATTCTGGTTTGCATGTTTGCTATAACATAAATGATAGTTTTGATTTATCTGTTTAAAAGTAGAAAATTCTTCATTTTGGGGACGGAGTGGGACAGGCGGGTATGTTTCACCATGCATAAGCCATTCCCTGTACTAATTATTAGTACTTAGGGTTTGGGTTTGGTGGGGTTTTTTTAGCTGGTGTTTGAGTTGTAGTCCAGCTGCTCACCTGTCTTTTAGAACTTAAAAATAATTTAAAAAAATTCCACAGGTGAAATATCATCCCTCATCATTTTTTTGAAATAATTTAAATTTAAAATAAGAATGAAAGTATGCACTGAAAATGAAATTATGTAGAGCAGGAGTTGTTAAAAAATCCTGTGTGCTAATGCATTATGAATGGGTGACAGTTCTGACTGTTAGAAACAATTAATGGCTTTAAGTTAGGCACATCTCTGACGGGTGATAAACTCTTGAGGGAAAGGGGGATACTGAATGAATTATGTCCTGTGATCTGTCAGAGATTCCTGTTTTCCCCTTATCCTCCTTGTTTTCTAACTTTTGCAGTGTTTGGTAAATGGTAGCTGAAATAAGATGGTGGAAACTGGGGAGGAGTGTGTGTTCAAGACCTATGTAGCAGAAAGGAAAAAAATAGGGTTTGGGCTTTTTTGTTTGTTTCTTTTGTTTTTTACCTAGATGATTAGCATGAAAATATTTTTGGTTTTCTATTCTGTTTCTTCATGAAAATACAAAGTGGCTGCAAGGATGAACTACAGTTGAGTTCTGAAGATAGTGGCACTCAGAATTTGTTTGTACTGAACATTGATCAATTTAGAAAATAGAGTGATTTCCTTGTGATGGGATTAGTGGAGTGGAAGGAGGTTGGATGTTTTCTTTGAAAAAGGGAAACAAAAAATTAGAGCTTCCTGAGCTGCTTTTAGCAATCCATGTGCAAGCTGCATTCAAAAGCATTTTCAGTTGCTTCACCAGCTGAGGCACAGAATCCCTTGGCTTGCTTTATTGCCAGATCTTCCAGGACTGCTGTTGGCCTTTAATTTTCTTTGCCTTTCCCATAGTAATATCTTATGGCTCCTGTATGCCATAGCATCAGTTTTGAAATCCATCCTACCCCTTTTCACCTTCCACCTCTTCTCCCTTCCCAGCATGAAAGCACCTAGCCATACCTTTCCCTTACATTTCCATGCTGCTCCGTCAGGTTTGGCGGTCTTCATTTAAGTCCTTTTTAAACACTAGTTTCTTCACAAACTGGTATTGATGTAGATTTTGGGAAAGATGCAGGCTTGTCCTGAGGACTATGCTGCCTTTGAGCAAGGTTGATGCTGCTCTGAAGATATTAAAGGTACCATGTTCAAAGCTACCACTGTTATTCCTGTTCTAAAAGCTGTATTTTTAAAAGTGACATCTTAAAGATATCAGACAACATAGTTTGGCAAATGTCCAATTTAGACGTGCTTCTGCTCTTGCTGGTTTAGGGGCCAGCAGTAGTACCTGACAGTACTGGTTAACTTGCTCTTTGCTCATGTTTTGGGTGGAGGACATGCTGCGGTGGTACAATATAGACTGAATTTGATCCTGTTTGCGTGAGTGAGGGCTCATTAGTTTTCATTTCAGTGCTAGAAAGAATATTCTTATTTGCTTTGTGCCTGTTTTCTGAATTGTTTCTTTCTGCATAATTTCTTAATGTGCCTGCACCACTGTACATAAGCACAGACTTATCTCTCCTACTTCTGGGGTTTTTAAAATCAAGAATAGAAACAAGATTAGCAGCTTAATTAGTAAATTTGCTATTCTTAAATGATGTATGTCCGTTTTTAAAAAATAACATTAAAAAAATCAGTTGGTTGCCTAAAACATACCAACTGATTAATTCTCTTTTCTTCACAAGGAAAGATTATATTTTGAACTACACTTCTGGTTTGCGTGTCTGACTGCAAGACTTTGGTTGTTTGTGATGGGCGTCTTCAAATATTGGGTAGAGATTTTCCGAGAAGAGTTTCTGGTCAGAGGCTCAGGATTTTCCAGTTTGGTTGCCTGTGTGGCCTTCATACAGCCCCATCTAACTGCTGCAGATAATGGCACCCAAGGCCCAGTAATCGTCGGTGTTGCATCGGTTGCTAGGAGGGTGCTGTGGCCACCCTGTTGATACTCAAAGCGAGCATCTTTTTCAAAAGAGCTCTGGCCCTGATTGCCACAGGTATGTATGGGATTTGTAGGGAGTCTGAACTCAGTCCTGGGTCTCAGGATCTGCCCAGAGTTTAGTGCTCTTGCAAAGGGTTTTCTAGCTGGTGTAGCACACATGATTCTCTAATATTGCTTTATGAGCAGTCAGAGAGGTAGAGAGCTTGCAGAAAGTATCACGTGGCAATGCTCTATAGGGCTTCCATGGTTGCTTTGTGTGGTGGGTTGTTTGTTTGTTTTTTTTTTTTTCCTAGAGCTGCATAAAACGTGGAAATGACCCTGGAAGATGTGTAGGACTTAGCATATTTCTCTTGTACATCATTCTCCATCCCGATAGATGCAAGTGTTATGTTTTCTCCAGGCCCAGGCACCTTCAGTTTTTATCTGAGTAGATGTGAAATGAGAGAACTGTAAAAGAAAAAGAGAGGGGGGTGGCCACTGGTAGAGGATGATTATCCTTGTAAAGGTGGCTGGTTGTTTTTTGGAGTATAGTGGGAGAAAATATGGGTTTGTCCTAGACAAATATGAAGATTTCAGCATCCTGAAATGGATGGATGATTTACAGAAACAGATGTTTAGATTTAAGTATGTATGTTCTTCCAGAGTCACATCAAAGTATTTTTTTTTTTTTCATGCCAGAGTTTCTCTCTTGCCGTTTCTCTGAGCACAATGCTAGAGCTATGCAGCTGCACACTTCAGTTTCTGCCCTTTATTAAATTTGTCCTATTTTCCCACTTTGTCCTTGTGTCAGTGGCTGGTGGGTGGCCCTATGATTGAGAATAGCCCATTGTAGTTTTTTGATAGCTAAGATGCCCAGCTCTGTACTGGATTTGTATATTCCATCTTTCTTAACTAAATTCAATGCTATGTCTCTTTACTGAATGATTATCATCCCTCTGCCACCTTCCCAAAGAACTTTAATATTTCACCTTGGCCTCTTTTTTCAGATAGCGATTTCCCATTAACTTATCTGGATGCCACCTAATTTCCAATCATATTAAACAGGAATGAAAAAACTGCTGACTGTGCAGTCAGAGTTCCCAATCAATAGACTAACCCCATTTTCCATGCAGATCCTTTCTACTTCTTGTGGCTTATCTTGTCTGCTTCACAACTTAGTTTTAATTGCCCTTCCCAACTGGCTGGCTGCTGGTGTGGTGATGGGATTTCACTGCTGTAGCAACTCCAGCTACTGCTGTGAACAGGTTGCTTTTCTCACTTCAGTTAGGTAGTAATTCTACACTGAAATGTAGATTTGCTAAGGACGCATTTAGTATAGGAAACCAAAGGACTTGTTAATTTGGGTCAAACTGAACTAACAATTATGGCCAAAGGAAAACCAAAATAATAAAGAATTGGTTTTAGTAATGTCAAAATATTAATTTCAGTATTTTCTAAATAAAATGTTCTGACTTTTCATGTCAAGATTGCCCAGCATTTATAGGGGATTTAGGTAATCTGAGAAGAAAGCATTTAATTTAATTTGAAACAACCTTTTCTTCCTTACCTGAAAGAAAACCTGTTTCAAGTCAAATCAAACTGGAGGGGTGCGGGCAGAGGGGTAGAATCTTTCTCACAGCAGTGTTCATAACCATATCTATTTAACAAGAAAAAAAATAATCTCAATTTTCTGATTTTTCCTTCCTTAGTAGTGAAGGGTATGCATTTTACCAGTCTGGGAAAGCATATTGGAACAAGCCAGGTGACTTTCTAAAATCACAATAATAACCATTTATGGTGAAGAATTTCCAGAATCACTTTTCTGTGAATAACTCTACACTTTCTGCAGTCAAAGGCAGTTTGCCCAATGCTGATTCTTTTAAAAAACATGGCACAACCAATCAGTTTACCAGCAGGAACGTACTCTTCAGAACTTCCATCGTAAAGCAGACTGATGCAGAATTTTCTGGATATAAGATGATCTGTTAGATATTGGCCAACTGGTCTATGGTTTCAAAGCTATTCAGACTGCTGGGAATACTC